GCCGCCTCCGCCGTCGCCCCCGACGCGCGCCCCGCCTCCTCCGCTGCGCTCGCGCACCACACCACACCACAAGCCCTCGCCGGGCGCGACCACTACTCGGGGCATTAGGCGTAAATGCTTCAATCTTAACAACGCATCTCATATAAAATACATATTTATGCTGAGGTCGACTGCGTGCCTTTAAAAGTGCCACCGGAAATTAGTTAAGAATTATAAATGAGTAAAGAGAGGCCAGCGAGAGCAGACGCCGCGGCGCCGTCACGCCCGACCAGGCTCCGGAGCGGACGGGCGCATCCGTATCGGACAGCTGCCCAGCGGCCGCGCCCGGCGAGCAGAGGAACGGTCAAGCGCCTGCCTGCTTCCAGAAGTGACTATGGTGGACAAGGTGGACTATGGTGAACAAGTGCCACGGCTATGGATGAGGATTTCCTCTCTCGTGAAACAGCGAACGTTTCAACGGCTGCGATTTCGGACATCTCCCCGGGAAATTGTGACTTGGGCATTCTTCGGTACATCTTCTGAAAAAAAAAAATGTTTGGATCTGGTTTTAATATGTCTACCTCTGTACGGATTGTGGTTGGAATAAATCCTTTTTTCGAAATTGCTTTCTTTTGGATACTACAATTTATTTATTTAAACTCTTGAAACTATATTTATTATACGATATTTCTAGGTTTCGTGATCTAATATACCACATCAGTACGTATTGTAGCGACGTGTCGCGCGGAGACAAGCACGTAGCAGACGGCGCGCATCGCCGGATGTTTAACGAAGGGAAGAGTGATGACGCACTGGGACTTTCCGTGGACGTGGCGAGGTAGGGCGGCGGTAGGGTGGAGGCAACGGGGGCGGCGGCTAGAGCCGAAGGGCCTGTAAAAGGCCTCGAGAACAATGCCCCCGATCTTGTTTCACAGCAGCGTCGGCGGCAGGTGGTGCGTGAGTTTGTGCGAGTATCTGCACGAGGCCAAAGGGCAGGGAACTCATTGTCGTGACTAGCGAGACATATAGTTGGTTTCAGGGTAGAGCGGTTTTTCGCACAGGGAACATTGAACGAATGTTGCGGTGTGGTAGTCGTTCTGTAAATTATCTCTTCTAGCAGTGTGTTCTATTTATTTAGTTAATTGTAAGCAGTGTAATCGGTTAATTGTGACTACTGTCTAGAGTTTGAATAAACATACTGTTCTTACAAACCACTCTCGTCTGTGTTCTGATGACACCCGTATAACGCCACAGTATGTATCTTTATATTAGATCATGTGGCCAGATAAGGTTAACTACACCTCGTAACGTCATGTAATAAATATAGTTTCAAGAGTTTAAATAAATAAATATGGCCTTTACATAAGACTAATGAGATTTGTTCTCTCTAACTAAGATTGAAGGATTCTCACCTATAAATATATTACATGAGAAGGCAACAACTGAGAGGAATATTTGATGAAAGTGTCGTGCATGTTTGTATTCGGGCCATATTGATGCAAATATCAAAAAGCGGGCCAAAAAAATAAAAAAAGGTTTTATTTAGCGAATTTTAAATAAGCAGTTGGGTAGACTGGTTTTCACAGTGTCTACTTTCACGGGTAAATACTGTCCGAGGCGTCACCGTGTTGTTATGCGTCATTGGACGAGTGAGCGACCGTTGAGCGAGCAGTTGTTTTCCGATTTGAACAATTTTCGCCATTCAAAATTGACCATGTGGTTTAAGGCATTTTACCTCAAAAATTTTTTTTATGCACTAGAGAGCTTTTTTTAGGAGTTATTTAATGATAGAAAGTTTAAAAGAACTTGCTACACGTTGCAAGTAGCATTTTGCATGAATATTCACTTTTGTTCTTTGTACCTTTTCCGTGAGTTTATATATATATATATATATATATATATATATATATAGTTATAAAAATGCTGTAACTAATCCAACTAGATGTACTACAGATCTAAAAAAGTACCCAATTCGACTGCTTTTCTTATTTTTTTCCTTCTGAACAAACATATGCATTTATCTTGTAAATAATAAACACTTAACATGTTTCTAGAGTGTTCCTATGCTTCTGCAATGCCTAGAAAGCATTTTTTCCGTTCGGAATATCCCAAGACGAAATGCGCTTAGAATGGAGTTAGGAGCTTACCCAGCACGAGCTCCTTGTACATGGCGTAGTCGATCATGTACTCGGGGCGCGCGTGCGGCAGGACGCCGCCGTTGCAGCGCACAATGTGCAGCAGCAGCGCGAACTTGCGCAGCTTGACGCGCGCGAACGCCAGCAGCTGCTCGTCCGGCACGTACTGCAGCGCCTGCGCCGCCTCGCCCTCCAGCGTCGCCCCCGGGATGATGAGGTCCGCCTCGCCGTACAGCCACTCCTCCTCCTTGTGCTCCGCCATGCTGCCGCACCCCCCACCCCAACCCCCTCGCCACGTTAGGCCCGGCGGAGCAGAACGCCAATTCACCCGAGCTTCGCCGCCAGTAAAGACTATTCATTTATGTATTTATTTATTTATTCATTCATTTAGTTAATTATTATTAAAATTATTAACGTATGGGCCGCTACTGAATACGCAACACATAGCTTGGCAGCGCCACGAATCGAATTTGCGCCCAACACATTTCACTTAACTTCTGTGCACGATGGCCACGAAACTGCTCGCGGCTCCTCTGATTTTCATAACGACGCGAGTTATGAGGAAAAAGTTGGATTCCGAGAAATCTGACAATGGGTAAATTTTTCGTCGCGGTCGTCCAGGAGGTAGTATCATCTTTTGGTGACTCTTCTAACTAATAGAAGGCAGTTGACAATCGATTTCAAAATACTTTATACGAAAGAAGTATTTCGCCAACTGGTAAGGCATTCTCCAAGATGGGACGTTTGAAATGTATGAGCTTTTCTTCTAAAATGCCTTCAAAAAACAGCAAAACTGAGCTGTTCGAAGCATGGAGCCAAATTTCAATTAATTTGGCGGTCAATGTGCCAACAATCATCATTATCATTTTACGTAACTTCTCCTTTCGAAGTCACGAGTTAGAATTCGCATCTTACAGATATAACCTACAATTTATTAAATAAAAAAACACCTTGCGTTCCTTAAATTTTTTTGCACAACTCTTGTCAAAAAGGCTACATGATAAGCAAAAACCGAAATTTTAAGACTTTTTTTCAAAATCTCTGGACTTTGTCTCGAATATCAAGAATATTTGTTGTTTTGGCTGGTATTCTACTTTAAATGGCGCCCTCTTAAATGGCACGTTCCATGTCCGCCATATCGTAGATGTGCCTCTATACCTGCTAGAGAGCCCAACTAGTTGGGCCCCGGGCGAGCCGACCTTCGGGCAGGATTGGCTGAAGGAGTTTCTTACGAGCGCTCTGGAATCCACTTATAAACGTCCGGCAGGAAATTACCTAGGTTCCTTAGGTTCTCGGCGGTACTCATGTCGTTAGCGTAACGGTGTAGGCAGTGAGGCGACGGGATGGGGGCCACGAGCCGCCAGGACCTTGGGCTCTCGGATTCGTCGAAGCAGCGGCCCAATACTTTGGTCAATGTTGGCCAACTGACCGCCAAATTGTTTCAAATTTGGCGCCTTGTTTTTTATTAGGCTATTTTTGACGTTCTTTGAAGGCGTTTCAGGGGAAAGGATTATACATTTCAAACTTGGCGCTTCGTTCGAACCATGTGGAGCATTGTCAAAGGTTCTGAGAATCCAGCGATTTCCATCTTAGACGCCACGAGCTCGCATTGTCATCAGAGGTGAGGTGCAGAAAGCTTAGTAAAAACGTTTTGAACGCCTTCAAGGTTCGATTCAGGGTGTGCCAGACCTGGATGCAGTTGTAACATGAAGTAAAGACGACGAAATTCATAAAGAAAGGTTTAATTTCGTTTGGACAGAGGTAACTGTGACAATTTCTTCAATACTCTTTAATTCTTTCTCCAAATAAAAATATTTGTGAATTGTGTGTCGTCTCTTTACCAGAACACTCTTGTCTGACAAAAAACTATTCGTACTGATAGAAGAGGCGATGTTTCGTTGCAGCTTCTACTAATTGCTCTTCCAACTTTTTCTTCGAGTATTTCGCCGCCTCAACATGCAAAGAGGAGAGACTGGGTGTCCCGGCGCATGAGAGTGGCGCGTCATCACAAGATATTGACTCCGGCACTGTCCTGGAAAGCTAGTAGCTCCGAGCTAGCAGGGCGGCCCAACCAGGGCATTGAATGGGAAGGTTGCCGAGAGGGCAAACGTGGTTCGGGCTGGCACCAGATATCGGCTCGTTGTCGTACACGTGCGGTGGCGGAGGGTAAAGATAAAAGCGAAAATCTCAGGAGCACACCCCGGGGACTTGTGCCTCCAATAGAACATGAAAATTACCTACCAGACAATTTATTTTCCGAGGTAAGACTATTTGCAGTTGACTGTATATTATATCGAGTTATTCAATGAAAAGTAGACGAGGATATTTTACAGGGTGGTCTAGATAGATTACATTTCTGGGCAGAAAAAATAGCACGATAATAAATAGGTCAAAAAGCAAAAGTATCAGGTTTGGTAGGGGCCGCAAATAGAGTGAAACTCAATACCGTTTAGGCAACAAAAATATTCCAAGAGTTTTGTCAGTACCTGGAAATAATTTTTGGGAGGATTTTTCAAAGGAATATGGGACGATTTGTTTAGCGAATTAGCGTTTTTGTTTATTTGAATAGCGTACAGGGTAGAGTGACCCAACTTACTTTCCGCAGCAAGAGGAAGAAAGTAGAAAGGGAGTCTCTAGAAATCAAGGGGGTTAAGGCAAGACTGTACAAAGCGTATGCCGGTTATCCAGCTTGGAACGATATTTTCATTCGACTCGATAGAACCAGAGAAAGAGAAGTGAAGTGAAGTGCAGAGTATTTAAGAAGTGTATTTATTAGTTAAAATATCTTTGCAGGACAGTCATAAAATGTGATGTTATTGTTATGATTTTTTATTATTATTATTATTATTATTATTATTATTATTATTATTATTATTATTATTATTATTATTGTTTTAAAACTTTATTGTATCAATATTCTTAACTGTAATATGTTAATTATAGAGTTCCGCCACCAGGTTATATAAACCTACCCGCAGGAACGATAAATCTCTCCATCTACCTACAATTAGCTGTTGAGTTGTGATTTGTTGTTGGCTGGGCTATCCGGGACGAGCCGCGTCAATGTCATGGTGGCTAACGTTTCGGCCAGCGTATTGTGGCTGGCCGAAACGTTGGCTAGCATGACACTGACGCGGCTCGTCCCGGATAGCCCAGCCAACATAAAGTCCGGCCGCGGAAGCCTACGCAACTTGAGATTTGCTGCCTCACTCACAATTTGCGCACGAAGTCGGTGGCCGTCTTGCCCGCGATGTTGGCGAGGGCGTTGTAGGGCGTGAGGGAGTGGAACGGGCAGGGCGTCCCCTCGCCCCGGCGCCGCTTCTCCGCCAGCGACTCCCACGCCGTGGGGGGCGGCGTGTTGGCGATGCGGTACAGCGTGTTGTAGCCGTACGGGATGGTCATCCAGTAGTGGTGTTGCATCACCACGTCGAACAGCCACTCCTCGGCTGCTTGCTGCACCCTGGCCGACGCCAACGCCAAAGTGGTGAAGCTTTTAGTTGACGATTTCATAAAAAATACACGACCCGACCAGAATCCAGACGAGAAGACCAGAAAAGACTGGTAATGATCGTGTTCTTTGCCGAATGAAATCTAATTATTCTGCATCAGAAGAAAATAAGATTTCAATTTGTTGGCAAAATGAATCATTTTTGCAATATGATACAAATTTGAATTCAGGAAGGGTAGTAAAGGATGACTATAATAATAAACTGGATTTAGAGCGAGACCTGAGAAGACATGATATAATTTTAGAATTAATTGCCAATGAAGCATATAAAGGAGAAGTGTATACTGCAGCTAGCTTTGAAAAATGCTTTGAGGGAAAGTTAGGGCTTGGTAGTGAACGCAGTATTCGTGAAAGAACTAGCCATCTTACAACCATAGGTTGAATATGAAATATCGAAGAAATCACCATCTGAAACTTGGAGTTTTGTTTAATTATCAAAAAAAACTGGGACAATTGAGATACTGGGGACCTAGAATTTTAACTTTGATGTAAAATTACAAACCTTTCAACTAAGAATGCTGCAGAATGATACAGGCTTTCTGTACTCGTATGTTCCCTAAGCCCTTTAGACTGGGATGGTGATCCTACAATGGTGCTGAATCACCTTGTCGAACAGCCACTCCTCGGCTGCTTCCTACACCCTTGCCAACGCCAAAGTGTTGAAGCTTTTAGTTGGGGTTTTCATCGAAAAATGCACTATGGGCCGAATTCATAGTCGTCACTTACAGGATAAGCGAAGCCCTCAAGTGATACGTGCTTTCTCAAAATAAGTGTTCACTTATAGACGCTCGTATTTCATAGACGTTCCTTACGACCGCGGAATGAGTGTTCACTTAAGCGGAAGGGAAATGTGGCAACATGGCATAGGCAGCAGCTGTTTCGAAGTTTACACACGGACTTCATCTTGTACAAAGAGCGTCCAGTTTAAAAGGGGCAGACACTCCAACGTAGAGTTGACGTCACGCGCAGACGAAATACTTCTACTATCTCTAATATGTCCTCATACAAACAAAACGAATTGTTTTGATATTCGTATATTTTACTAATGTGATAACTACCAATCGCTAATAACAAGCAGATTTGTAACAATATAATCTATGATTCTCATATAATTTCAATGACTATTTGTCACTGGTACCATGTTAATATTTTAAAAAATTATTATACAAATTCCTAATAATAAGAAAGGTTTGGTAAAAAGTATAATCCATGAACCTCGTATCAAAGTTTTAATGAACCTCTGCAATGTCTTGTGCATTTTCTACAAATTATTTATGTGCATTATTTGATTGTAACATAATACTTAACATCAGTTTCAATTGATTCCTCGACGTTAACTTATGCTCTAGTATAACTAATAAACATAAGGTGGTGGTATGGTAATATGGTATGAACATAAGTCTGCCAATATTGGTAATGGATTATTAACATTTCATGTAATTGAAAATGTCAACCACTTATAGCACTAACATAAATTCCATTTTACAACAATTTAAATTCATATTGCGAAATTCATAATTACATATACTTTGTCTTATAAATCAGAAATGAATGAAAGTTAAAAATTTTGGAAACATTCCTGAAAGGATGTAGTTGCATAACTTCTTAATGCAACGCGAACTTTTAATAAGGGAGGAATTGACAATCCTAGTTCAGTCATTGAGACTTTGGTCGATCATCGGCACAAGTGTATCCACTACAGTAGTTTTATTAAAACGAAACAGCTTTCGAAATTGTTCATCATTCTACATTTCCAATGGGTTGCTCGTATCTCTAATATATCTCTTTGAATTTCGCAAGATGTGTTGAGTATAAAACTCAAAATAATTATTGAAGTCGTTTTCCATAACA